CTGTCCTTCCATTGTTCATCGATTTTCTCAAGTGGGCCCAGTAACGTCTCCATTTTGAGACTTGTTGTTACTGTGTTTGGCATATTGAATATGTCACGGGTAACTTGCCAGCTTTGCCGTGCGGGCGAGATACTCTCGGTAGCTTGCCGGGCTCTCTGAGAGGGGCGGAGGAATCGAACCCCGCTATGCCAGGCTGGCTGCGTGCAAGGCAAATGCCCTACCACTATACTATCACTCCAGCCCAGGGGATAAAATGTAAACATAAAAACTTTAGGTAGATTCACTGAAATTACTTTATGTGTGATGTGCTGATGGGAGGCGTGTGGGTGTACCTGAAGGTGTTCAGGGGTTACCGCTAGCTCTATGCATAGTAGTTGCTCTTGGTGGCACTCCAATGACAACATGCAGCCGTGGGGGTGTACCCTGGATTTCACAACGCAAAGCTTGTCCTCAGTGCACTGTGCCATTTCCCAGCCTGTAATGACTTTGAGGACTACTAGTTCTACCTGCAGTAGTTTCATATGTTTCAACATTACATCACACAACAGATCACCAAAAAAAGTAGGATGATTGGACAGGGGTGTTTCTGTTATCTGGAGACAGGGACAGAACAGGGACTTTAAAAAAGAAATCAAGGCAGAGTGATTTTATTGAGTTAAATGCCTCCACTAACACTAGAGCACGCACACTGGGTGAGTCTGAGTAACCGTATGGTCAGGTAAGCACGATGACAATCTGTGTGCAAAGCATTTGTAGCAGCTCAAACTTTCTACCACTTCCCAACAGTGACAACCGCTGGACCCAAGAAAGTATTCTTGCATTTCTGTGACTCCGTATTTGTGCTTTCTAGAATTTTATTTTTCTGGTATTTCAACCTGAGCTATTCATGTTAGGCCACACAGTAGCTTGTTCCTTGACACTGATAAATAGTATTCCATCATAGGAACAATCTGTGCGTTTGCTTGCTGATAAACATTTGGATTGCTTTTGATTTAAGGCTACTAAGAACTAAACTGGTTTGAGTATTCAGTCTTGATTCTTCATATAGACATTTTTGTAAAATTTGGGGCCATACTCGGCGGTTCGTTGGGGGCACTCCAGCTTTTTGCTCAGTGCAGCTTCTGACCAGGCTCTGGGGACCATACAGTGTTGAAAATCAAAACTTGCCTTTGAACTGTCTCTGTTCATCCTCCATACTGTCACTTTTTGTTTGTTTGCGTTATACCCAGCAATGCTCAGGTGAGGTGCTATTCCTTGCTCTGAACTCAGGAATTATTCCTGGTGGTGCTTAGAGGACCATATGGGATGCTGAGGATTGGACCCAGGTGGGCTGCATGCAAAGTAAACATCCTACCCACTATATTATTGCTCTGGTCCCATACTGCCACTTTTTAAAAAACATTCCCATCTGAAATATTTTTCTTGCCCCCTACCAGCTGTTGCAATGACGTAGGATGACACATCTCTGGTGCGATGCTGGTCGTACCTGATGGCGTGAGTGCTAGCACTCTCAGCCAAGCTGCATCTGTGGGCACCATATGGGGTTCAGGGACTGAACTCAGGTCAGCCACGTGCAAGGCAAGCATCCTGCCTGCTGGACTATCTCCAGCCTCAGGGATCACACACACTTGAGCTGTACTAACACACAGATGTCTGTCTGCTGGAGAGCACTGTTGTAGCACCTAGATAAAAGCTGTTTGGAGCATGTAGGCAGCACTTGGGATCAAATTCATGACCCTATTGTCATTCTTATATTATTTGTGTGTTTGGAAAATGCTTTTTCAAATTTTTTGCACAATGAAAAGAAAAAGAAGAAAAATGGGTTATATCTTTTTGTTAAGAGACATTACTAAGAACTATAAATATTCATTCTTTTCTATATTCTAGACAAAAATTCTTTGTCAGATATACACACTGCAAATTATTTCAGTCTACTGCATGACATTTTCATTTTCTTAATGTTGTCTTTCTGAGAAGTGAATGTAAAATTTTTGAAGCAAGCTTGCAATTAGATTTGTGACTTTTATTTTTTATCCTAAGAAATATTCATTATATTCTAAAAATGATGCATACTTTTCTCTAGGAACTCTATGGTTTTAAACTTTAAGTCTGATTCACATCAAATTAATATTTGTACAGTCAAGGTCATAGTGAACTAAGTTTTTAATATAATATAGTATCCATTTAGTCAAGTGCTATTTTCTGAAGACTATTTTTTTAAATTTTATTTATTTTTTTATTTTAATGAATCTTTGTGTGCCAAACACAGTAACAAGTCTCACAATAGAGATGTTACTGGGCCTGCTCGGGCAAATCAATGAACAAAGGAGGACAGTGCTACAGTGCTACATTGTGAGTTACATTTACAGACTTACAGACTTTCCTGATTGTGTTTCAGTCAAACAATGTTTGGGGCTAGAGCGATAGAACAGAGAGTAGGGTATTTGCCTTGCACTCATCAGACCCAGGTTCAATTCCCAGCATTCTATATGGTCCCCTGAATACCACCAGGAGTAATTCCTGAGTGCGAAGCAAAAAAAAGTAATTCCTGAGTAACCCCAGTGCATCGCCAGGTGTGACCTAGAAAGCAAAAAAAAAAAAAAAAACCAATGTTCAAGTACCCATCCCTCCACCAGTGCCCATTCTCCACCCTAAATGCTCCAGTATCCCTTCCCCCCTACCCCCCACTCCTTCCCACCTCCTACCTCTGTGGCAGGCACAATCCTTCTTAGTTTTTCTGTCCTTTTGGGTGCTATGGTTTGCAGTACAGGAAACAAGTAGCCATCATGTTTGGTCCATGAAAAGACTATCTTTTAAAACATTTACTTGTTATGAAATGGGGGCGAGGGTAGGTCATACCTAACAGTGCTTAGGGGCTGTACTTAGCTATGTGCTCAGGAGTGACCTCAGATAGTCCTCAAAGGATCTCATTCAATCAAATAGACTAATTCAACTTAATGAATCGATCACCACCGTCCACAGTGCAGAGGACAGCACAAGCATCAGCCACAAGCAAGGCAAGTAACTTTCTGCTGGAACTGTCTCCCTGGACCACGGAAAACGCTTCTGTTCCTCAGAGGAATGTTTGGTGCAAGGGGTACCTCTAAATTTTCATTACATTTCAGTAATCTAGACATTAGTCTTCCCTGTTCTTGGGTGATGTTCCAAGATACCCAGCACAAGTCTTACACTGTAACAGTACGGAACCTTGTATGTACACAGTACTACAATCTAATTTATAGGCGCTAGAGATGGTACAGCAGGTAAGGCACTTGCCTTGCACACAGTTCACCTGGATTCAATCCCCAGCACCCTGTATGGTTCCCTGGGCCCTGCCAGGAGTGATCCCTGTGCACAGAGCCAGGAGTAAGCCCTGGCTTTTGTTCGTGGACCACTGCAGAGGGTGGTCCATGAACAAAAAACCAAGCACATTTTAATTTATAAATCAAGCACAGTAGATTAGTGACAATTATAAAGTTAAAAATAGAAGTTTATTTTATTTTATTTTTTTGCTTTTTGGGTCACACCTGGAGATGCACAGGGGTTACTCCTGGCTCTATACTCAGGAATGACCCCATGGCAGTGCTCAGGGAACCATAGGGGATGCTGGGAATCAAACCCGGGTTGGCCGTGTACAAGATAAACATCCTACCTGCTGTGCTATCCCTCCAGACCCAAAAACAGAACAGTCTTAACAACGAATTTAAGAACCAGGGATGTGGGTCTGTGGGTAGAGTACATGAGCTGCATGTGTGAAGTCCTGAGTTCAATTCCAGGTACCATCCCCTCAAAATAAAATATAAAGTAAAATGTTTAAAAACAAAAACCAAAAAGAAAACCCTCAAAAAGCTACATTGTAGGGCCAAGAGATAGTACAGCAGTCAGGGTGCATGTGCCCAACCTGGATCCAATTCTGGTGCGACCCAGTCCCCAAGCATCACTGTGGGGAGCCCCAGAGACCCAGCCACCTCTGAGTGTGGCTGTGAGGGTCCTGGGGCACCACCATTGTGGCTAGGTAACCCCTGTATCGCTTGAGCAGCATCGCATGGGCCTCTGGCACTGAATTACCAGCCCAGCTGTGAGAAGCACAGCTGGTTCCCTGGGGCTCCGAGCGTAGCTTGGATACCTAATAAACAGCCTCTCAATGCATCAGCACAGCAAGCACACACACAGCGGGTAAATTTCTTTTAGTGTTCTATGTAAGAAAGGTAATTGCTTTCATTTTTTTAGAGACAAAACATTTTTTTAAGAAAGATATTTGACTGCATAAAAAAAGAAAAAAAACCCTGAAAATTTGAGGCACATTTTCTGTCCTGGCGATTCATCTGCATCTGAAACTAAGATATGAATGTACATATAATGGGGGATGTTGAATTGTTCTTATTCTTCGTATTTCTGCAGTTTCCAAATTTTCTGTGACAGGAAGATTTGAAAAATAATGCAAACTAAAGTCTGCACTGAGTCATTTTGCTATGTCGTATTTTCAGTTTAAACCCTGTTCTTCCTTTCCCATCCCCATGTACAGTGATTGTTACCATAGTGGTGGCTGTAGGGTATGGGTCCAGGTAGATGGTGAATTACTTGCCAGTACTTTCTCAATCATGAGCTGCCCAAAAGATAAGGTTGGTACTGTTGATAAACAGGAAAAAGTCACTGGCAATATCTTCCTTGGGTCCTAGCAATGTTTTTGGTATTGGGTCATATGTGGCAATGCTCAGAGGACTGTATGCAGTGCCGGGGATCAAACTAGGGTTGGCCTCATACAAGGAAAGCTCTAATAATTTAAAATAGGTCCAACAACAAATACGCTTATCAAGAAGTAAAGGATATCTCTTAATTTATTGGAATAATTAGTATACAGATAAAAGAATTAATTTTAACACTTAAAATAAGGTAAGCTATAAAATAAGCATACAATTAAAATACATTAATTGAGCACCCTAAAACTATATAAATATGGGATATTTATAAAATTATTAAGAACAATATACTGTCATATTCTTTAAATAAAGTCTGAAATCATTAGTTTCAAACCAAGGAAGTAGTAAAAAATAGTCTTCTTGATTTTTAATTGTCCAAAGAGCACACTCTGTTATTTCTTTCTTGTTTTTTCTAAGACCCATTCAATCACCTACAGGGAGAAAAAAATATTACTATGGTACACTTTAACTGAAAATACAAGCGAAAATTTTGAATGCATTAATAAACAGAAATATTTAAATAGGGAAAGAGCAAAATCTGAAAACATTTTATTTAAACATATTTTATTATATAATTTATTTGGATTTTTTTTTTTTTTTGGTTTGGGGGTCACAACTAGAACTGCTACAGGCTTATTCCTGGCTCTGCACTCAGGAATCATTCCTGGAGGGTCTCAGGGGCACCTTAAGGGTGCTGGGATGACACTGAGGTTGACTGTATGCAGGGAAAGACCTTGCCCACTATACCGTTTCTCCAGCCCCGAAAATGTTTTCAAAGGATCCCCCTTGCCCCCCCAAAGAATAAAACAAAATGCTGAAAAAAATCTAATTAAAGGAGGTTTTTCCTGCTCTTTGGATTAACTGCCTATTTTTACATCATTTCAGGAGCTCTGTTACCAAGTCACTTTTAAAAGAAATACCACCAAGTACTCTGTGGGAATAAGTCCACTATTAAGTATATTAAAGTGGCCAGGACAGAGTTGAAAAGAGCACTTTTTAATTCTTATCGCATGGAAGAAATTACCATTATAGCTGTCCTGAGAAAAACAGCAATTTGGCTGAATATATTTTCATGGGAATCATACCTGCTCAACATTTTTGTTTGCTGTCTTCTTCATTTCTTCAAATAAACCTCTTGAAGTTTTAAGATCCTAAACATAACAAAACACAGCGGTTCACAATTTGAATATCAAATCCAGGAACAGGTCATTAAGAGACACACTGAGGATCATCCCAGAATAATTAACCAGCGTCAATGTGATCAGGGACGTTCCAAAAGGACTCATTCAACATCAGCTTGGGGGAAACCATAACTTTTAAGCAAAAAAGAAATAAGGTGAATGCAAGCCCTCAAATAGCATGTTTTATTCAACTTTGTCAGAATATTTATTTTCCCACCATTGTTAAAACTATGGCATTCCTCTCTTTAGTTGCAATCTTCACATCTGCTAATTGCTGGTGGTCCAGTCATATTACAAATGAGAGGCTAAGCATCTTCTTGGAAGCTCTACACAAAGTTCTACACACAGCTTATTTATTGCTAGCTTTACAAGGAAGGGACGATGATAAGAGGCCAGTGGCTTTTCCCTGGTGGTATCCAGCTCTCTCTAAACAAGAGAAGATTTTCTACACTACTAGAGCTGGGGGAGAACCATGCACTCTATAAGTAGCTTTGTAAGAGAGGGATACTCAAGAGCAAGCTGAAAGGTCCCGCTTTGTGGATCTTTATTTAATTCCTACTTTTCACAGGGAGCTGTGCCCATTTTGTTGGTCCCCCCTCCTGCTCCCCCCCACCAAACTTACTCTCTGAAAATCCCAAGCCCCTCAGAGACTGTGCCAGGGGAAACAGATTGTTGCTCACTGGCATTTTTTGATCTTTTATTTCATTGCTTTGGGATCAGATCTTGCCTCTCCACCCAGAAATCACTCCTGGAAATGCTCAGGGGACCATTTGGGGTGCTGGGGGTTGAATACAGATTGGATGTATGCAAGGAAAACATGGCTTCAGCCCGCTCACTGGAATTCTAGGAGGCAGGCATTGTGGTGGCAGCTGCTTCTACTCTGTTGTTCCACACTTCTATGCACTTTTCTTGTTCAACAATGTATAAAACAAACAAACAAACAAAAACATTTCTGTCTTTCCTCTTTTCTTGGTTTCAGAACTCTGATGAATGCTGATGTTGTCTTTCTTGAGATATTTTTACAGAAATTGAAACAGACGCTCTGTAAGGCTGGAGAGACTCTATCACTATCTGAATTTTAGAAAACTGTTGAGTGGCTCAACTGTGCCATATCTTAGATGTAGCTGATAATGGGCCTAAAGTGAGAAATCGTGTTTTGATGGTACAGTAGTCTTTTCCCCATATACAAACTAATTAAACCTGCTTTTGAAGCTTATTATTATTTTCAGTCAATGACTCATTAGGGAAACAAATACTAAAGATACTAAAGTTAAAATGTACTTTCTATCTCTGAAATACAAAATATTTTGGCCTCTTTTTTTTTCATCTCCACTAAAAAGTGACAAGTTACATATTATCAGCATTAACAAAAAAAGTACTGAACATAACCTTATCAAAGAGAAACACTAGAACAAGACTTCCATTCTGCCAACAGTACAGAAAACAATGTACCTTTAGATAGAACTTGGAGATCTCAAAGAGACGCTGGCTACATGCAGTGAAACATTCATGAGCCTCGGGAATACTGTGTTTCTTCAGGGTTTCAGTAACGACTTCTTTCAGTATCTTGAAAAGAACATAAAGTAAGATTGATGTGTTGGGGGAGGGGAGGAAGATGCAACAATTATTTTCAGCTTTAGAGTTGAATTTTGGAGATGAAACAATCATTTGTGCTCAAACTTCACTTGCTCATGAAGACTAAAAATAGAGGAAAAGAGAGCTGTCACCTTTATCTGGTCTCATTTGTAACAGAACGCTGGCAGGAAACCTCTGCAGTAGACTGAGAGGCGTTCCCCCCTGGGAGTGAAGCATCAAAGTTCCATGTGTGTCGAAAAATGAGGAGAACAGTTTAAAGCAACTGGGAGGTGCCATTTCATGGCATTCCTCTAAAATTTTTAGACAAACGTTTAAAATGAATGAAATAAAGAACCTTCTTCCTACTTATCTGGGAAAGACAACTTTACCCGTGTGTGCTTCTGTGATCTTGATTCTTTAATCTGCCTCGAGGGTTTTGATTCACAGGCACCTTTTGGTCTTGAACTGGCCTTGGTGGTGGTGGCTTTTGGAGTTTTAGAGCTGAGACCTGCAGCAGAGGGACAGGCTGATCGTTCTGCCTGGGGGGTTCTGGAGGTCACTGCAGGAAGCTGGTGACTACCGCAGCTCGTATGTGAAAGAAGAGAATCTGAACTTTCTGATTTCACAAATCTGTTGAAAGGGAAACAGAACCATGGGATCAGTAAATGAACAATTTTTGTGTAAATGTCATAACTGTGGCCACTAAAACAAAATCTGGAGAAGACAGTTTTGTAGCCAATTTTGCTTTAAATAAAGCAGTTGTCAATACAGCATAAAGTTCCTGTTAGTTCTGCAAATGAGTGATTAAGAGTAGAACTCAATGAAAAACTGGGATTTTAGCTGAGAGAAAGCAACAAGCAATGCTACTGTAATCCTCCCTGCCAATTTAAAATTCCTCACCTAAATCAGCCACAGCATGCCAGCTGCTATATTTAGAGATCTAACACTCACCCTTCGAGTCTATAAACATTTTCGTTAATTTTAAGGAAGAAACTACAAGCTATTCTTATTACATCTAAACAACTGCCTGTGCAAGATAAATTATTATTAGAAATTACCATAAGATACTTGTTTCTTTATAAAAAGTTTGTTCATACAAAACCTCATTTTTTTTTTTTAATTTTTGGCTTTTTAGTTTGTTTTGTTGGCAACACCTGGCAGAATCCAGGAGATACTCACAACTCAGTGCTTGGGGGTTACTGTGGGGGTGCTTGAGGACCAGGCAGTGCTAGGGATTAAACCTAGGTGTCCTCTGGCACACATTCAAAAGAACAAAAGCAACCAGTGCTGGCGTGGATGTGGGGGGAAAGGGACGCTCTTTCACTGTTAGTGGGAATGCCGACCGGTCCAGTCTTTCTGGAAAGCAATATGGACATTCTTTCAAAAACTAAAAATTGAGCTTCCACATGAACCCACAATACTATTTCTGGGAATATATCCTGAGGGTGCAAAAAAGCACAGTAGAAATGACATTTGCACCTGTATGTTCATTGCAGTACTGTTCACAATAGCCAGAATCTGGAAACAACCTGAGCGCCCAAGAACAGACAACTGGTTAAGGAAACTTTGGTACATCTACACAATGGAATTCTATGCAGCTGTTAGAAGAGGTGAAATCATGAAATTTGCTTATAAGTGGATGGGCATGAAGAATATCATGCTAATTGAAATGAGTGAGAAAGAGAGGGACCAACATAGAAGGAGCGCACTCATTTGTGGAATATAAAATAACATAATATGAGACTGACACCCAAGAACAGTAGACACAAGGACCAGGAATATTGCCGCATAGTTGGAAGCCTATCTCATGAGCTGGGGGAGACGGCAGCTGGGATAGAGACGGGATCACTAAGACAATGATGTTTGGAGGAATAGTTTGGGATGGGAGATGTGCGCAAAAGTAGATAAAGGACCAAACCTGATGACTTCTCGGTGTCTGTAATGCAAACCATAATGCCCAACAGTAGAGAGAGATTATGGGGGAAACTGTCTGCCATGGAGGCAGGGGGGAGGCTGGGAAAGAGGGGGGTATACTGGGGACATTGGTGGTGCAGAATGTGCACTGGTGGAGGGATGGGTGTTTGATCACTGTATGGCTGAAACTCAAACATGAAAGTTTTGTAACTGTATCTCACGGTGATTCAATAAAAACAAACAAACAAACAACAATAACAACAACAACAAAAAACCCTGGATGTTCTAAATGTGAAGCACAAGGCTCCAGCCTTCAGTCACCTCCCCTGGCCCAATAGAGTCTTCTAACCCAGAGGCCACAGTGTACTTTCTTGAGGTACATGCTATCTTTTTATTAGCCACGAGGGAGGGCAAGGTCAGAAAAAGTTATGTTGCAAAATACAGTATTTCAAAAAAATAAATACAGTATCTCAAATGTTAACGGACTCACTTAGTTTTATCTGGCATCAAGAGAATCAGGAATCATTCCACAGCAGGGACAGAGTGTTCTAGCATCTTTAACTTTTCATAAAAAAGAGCTAGCAATCATGAACAACTTGGCAACTATGTATCTCACAGTGATTCAACTAAAAAAGAGTTCGGAGTTTCACTTTAACATATTTTGAGGGGCTTAAATAAAATAATCTAAGGCTTGCTTAACTGCCAGAAAGTCTATCTTCACAAAGGTTTTAAAGATTTACAAAAGGAATATGAGTGTTTATTTCACAAAAGTTTTACTTTTTAGTCTATGGACATTTCATTGACTGGAAAAGTGAACCCCAAACCAGAGAGACAGCTCAGTGGGCTGAGTTCATGCTTTTCATGCAGGAAGCTTGGTTAGTTCCCCCATATCACAGACTCCTGGGAGCACAATCAGGAGCATCCCTGAGCAGAGTCTGGAGTAGACCCTGAGCATCAGGTGGGCTGGAGAAACAGCACAGTGAGTGGAGTGTCTGCAATCCTCATGACCAGCTGAGGTTCAATTTCTGGCATCCCAGATGGTCCCAGAGCCCTGAGCACAGAGTTAGAAGTTAGTCATGAGTATCACCAGGTATGGCCTCAAACACAACTGTCACTGTCACTGTCCTACCATTATTCATTGATTTGCTTGAGTGGGGCCAGTGACATTGTGATACTTGTTGTTATTGTGTTTGGCATATCAAATACATCACTGGTAGCATGCCAGGCTTTGCTGTGTGGGTGAGACACTCTCAGTAGCTTGTCAGGTTCTCTGAGAGGGGCGGAGGAATTGAACTCCAGTCAGTGCAAAGCAAACACCCTACCCGCTGTGCTATCACTCCAGCCCAAACACAACAAAAATAGCAAAACAGAAACAAAACAACACCCAATTCCCCACCAAATCTATCTAGAAAAGTGTGTCACATAGGTATTTATAATGTAAATCTTTCCCCTATAGTTTATATGCAACAACTGGCTTTTTGTATAGGCCCGATCACCCACCTTTGTTTAAAGGGCCAATACAGGCAGGAAACAGTGAAAGGAGACAGAGGAGCAGCCCGCGGGGAGCAGCTGTTCCGCAACAGCCTCATCAGAGAGGAGTTCAAAGACGAGGCCCTCCAGTCCCATAGTCAACCCCCTGAAACCCCCCTAGTCCCACAGTCAACCCTCTGAGTCCCTTCCAGTCCCACAGTCAACCCTCTGAGTCCCTTCCAGTCCCACAGTCAACCCCCTGACAGCCCACAGCACTCATGGTCTCTCAACAGCTGAAGCAAAAAAACACTGGATTCATTTTTTCCTCCAGTGTTTTCTTTTTTCACCTTAGAAACCCAATAACCCACGGCTCCAAAATAAAAAAAAAAAATTCCTGGTAGGAAGGAAGGAATCTAAACTCTAGGTCAAAAAAAGGACTTAAAACTATGTAAGAACATGGCGGGGAAGAGGGGAGGGTTGGCCCGAGAGACAAAAGTAAAAGAAGAAGAACCGAAACTTTCTGTCAAGATGATACTTCCGGGAGGTCCCAGCGCACCTTTTGCGGGGGTAAGCACAGTTCCCATCCTTCGCCCCTCTTTTCAGCCGGGCCCCCTCAGGACGCCGCTCGCTCTGCAGGGCTTCCCCATCTGGGACACTGCCAGGCTCGGACAGGACGGCGGGGGACGGCAGCGGGCTCAGCACGGTGGGGACTGGGACGCTGTCCCGGGTGCAGGTGGTCTGGGTTTCATATCGAATGAGACGAGACTGCAGCTCGGAAAATCCCCCATCTCTCTCCAAGGCTTTTCTGTCATCCAAGCAGTATCTGGACAGGAGAGATCATGACAGTCAAGGCCTTGGGACAGCTGCCCCCTCACGAGAGAACACGGCTCAACAAGCTTTTATCAGACTTTCGAGTAACACCTAGAAGCTGAGGGACTGGCCAGCTTCCCTCCCCAGCTCAGTTTTATTTTCCAGCCAGGTAGGTGAGGTGGATGATGAAGTGAATCCTCAGGCTTAATTTTCAAAATAACAGTTACTTTTTCAAGGCTTTAAACATATCTCTACCAACCCCTGACTTCTCAGCCTGGCTGACATGTAACACCGAGATGCTGACTTCTTGGCTACAAAGGGAAAAGTTTGTTTTCTTTGTTTTGGGGACATACTCGGTGATGCTCAGGGCTCTGCACGCAGGAATTGCTCCTGGTGGTGCTCAGGGAACCATACGGGACGCTGCGGATTGAACCTGGGTCAGTTGTGTGCCAGGCAAGTGCTCTGCCTGCTGTACTATCTCTCTGGCCCCAAAAGTCCATTTTCAAAACAAAGACTTAAAGCAAGTAGATTAAAAGGCTCAACAAATACTCAGAATATTTTGAAATTTTTCTTTGAAACTCACCTTCTACCTTATTCATTAACATATGGGTTTTTTTGGAGGGGGGGCAGTGGGCACTTCCCACAGAGGTGCTCAGGGGCCACCCAGGGGGTGTTCAGGTGACCAAGTGGTTGCCCAGGATTGAAGCAGAGGATCCAGCAAATAAAGCATGTGTGCCAGGCCTCCCATCCATCTCCCAGGTCCTCACTTTCACCTTACTGACTGATGCTGTTTCCTCCAAGCCCTTCTGTGATCTCTAGGCACCTCACTTACTCAGTAACTCCGATTCAGAGAATCAGTGAAATGTTAGATCAGTGGAAACCCCGTCTTGTTACAAATGATCACACCAGGAAAGTCAGCGCAAGGGTGTATGGTACTAGAAAGCTCTTCACCTCCCTTTCTACAGCTGCATTAAGAAAACACAAATGATTTTTCACTATGTGATGCAGTAACCCCTGTGCATCACCAGGTTTGACCCAAAAGCAAACAAACAAACAAAAACTGAAACCTTTTTCTGTTTATGTGTCCTCTTCACCCGAAGAGTTCTAAAATATTCCCTTCATTAGCTGCCCCCAAAGGTGTATCAGCATGTTAACATCAATTGTTTGACAGAGGTTTTAGGACATCTATTTTCTTGTCTGAACCTGATTAGAGAACAAAGTAGGTGGCAGAACTTCCTGGATTTAAATATGGTTCCACCACTGACAGACGAGCTCTGTGCATCTGGTGAAACTGCTCATTGTATCTATGCTCTGTTACTTAGGCATAATACATAATATAGAATGAGAGATTCTAAGAAGTTGTCTCAGAAAGCTACCTTCTTAATAAAAATATTTTTAAAAATAAAAATGAAGCTATTTTTATTTATAAATATAAAAATTGCCTACTGATCACCATGCAGTGGAAGCTAGAGCTACTAAAATGACAACATCTAACAATAAATAATATTTTATTCTCCAGAAAAAGATTATGAGGGGAAAAGTAAATAAAGATATAATCCTATGTTGTATAAATTCAACAATAAAAGTCAAGTAATTCAACTCATCTTAAAAAGCATTATGTGACCTTGAGCAGTTTAAATATTTTTCATATGTTCCTTAGGCCAGGTTCAATGAAATATGTTTCTAATTCCTAATTCACGTTTAACGTACATCATTAAATAGGCTCCCATATCATACGTGTAACTTCAAAACAAAAAAAAAAAAAGTCCAAGTTTCTATATTCTCTGTGAGCACTTTCTGTAACTTCCAGGGTTGGATTTAAATTTCCCCTGCTTAGAAAGCACACATTTACAGTAAAGAAACTTCAGTCACTGTGGAAGTTTATGTGATAGTGCAATAGGTATATAGCAGAGACAAGCATGCTGTATAATGAAATGTATAATGAATTAAAACTTCAGAACATTATATGTGTATAAATGAGTAACTAAAGCTGCGGGCGGAGATTTAAGCCTATCAAAAATAGGGCTCAAACTATTACTAGTGCTCAAACCCTTTAACATTCTGATTAATGGCCTTAAAGAACACACTTTTATACATTCCCTAAGTTTACATGCACCATTACATTTCTTTCTACAGACAATTAAACACAGAAGAAAAAAGTGGGGAGGACACAGGATCATCAAATCTAAACTTTTGGTCCCTATCTAAAACAAAAAACAAAACAAAACAAAAAAACAAAAAAAAAACATGGCCCTTCTTAAGGAAAGAGAACATTTCTAAAATGAGTACGAAACCTCAAAAGACCTCAATGGCTAAATGATTCTGAGAGAGAAGAAGAATGGAGGCATCATGTGCCCTAATTTTAAATTATATAGCAAGGCACCAGTAATCACAACGATCTAATAGCAGAACAAAAACAGGCAGAGAGATCAATGGAACAGAATGGAGAGCACTGGAAGAAATACACAGACATGAACAGCTAATCTGTGATAAAAGCTTACACAGTGAAAAGAAAGTCTCTTCAACAAACGGTGTGTGGGCAACTGAACTACCAAAGGCCAAAGAAATAAGCTAGGTCAACACTTAACAGTATACGAAAGAAATAAAATCGAAATGGGTTAAAGATAAGTAGCAGGCCTGAAGCCATCAATACCCAGAGGAAACCGTAGGTGATACAGCCCTGGACCTCAATACCAAAGGTGTTATTTGGAGACTCAACTCCAAAAGCAAGGTCAAAGAATAAGCAAATGGAGTGACACAAAATTAAAAGGAAAAGAAATCTTTTAGAGCAGCAAAAGAAACTCTGACGAGGAAAGGGGTGAGATAGCTCAATGGGCAAAGTGCATAGAGAAGACCCTGAACTAGGTCTCTGGCATGTCTTCTCTGCCCCCGGCAGCTCTATCATGGACTCTGATAGAGTCTGGTCTGGCCCTGGTGGTCCCCAAGTACTGCTACAGTCCTGCACCCTGGACCCTGCTCGGGAAGCCCTCATAAGAGAGATGAAGATTCCCACAGATAAAAGAGGCAACCCAGCAATTGAGACATCTGTACATCCTGCAGATGAGAGGGGGCTAACATCCACAACACAGAGCCACAACTCCACAACAATCACAAAATAAAGTGACTGTCCAAAACATGATCCAAGCTCCTGCTCAAACACTCCTCCAAAGAAGACAAATACCCACAGACTGGGAGAAATTATTTGCCCACCACTCATCCGACAAAGGGTTAATAGCCAAGATGTATAAAGACCAAGTAGAACTCTGCAAAGAAACAACAAAAACCCTGTCAAAAATGGGGGGAAAAGAGATAAACAGGAAATTCTTCAAAGAAGTGCAAATGGCCAAAAAGCCTATGAAAAATGCCCCAAATCACTAATCATCAGGGAACTGCTAATCAGAACAACCACAAGATCTCACCTCACACCAAAGACACTGGTACGCATCAAAAGGAACAGCAACCAGTGTTGGTGAGGAAGTGGGGAGAAATGAATCTCACTCACTGCTGGTGGTAATGTTGAATGGTCCAGCCTATTTGTAAGACAATATGGACATTTCTCAAAAAAACTAGGAATTAAGCTTCCATATGACCCAGCAATTCTACCTCAGGGATATATCCCAAAGCCCCAAATGCATGATGCAGAAACAACATCTGCAGTTGTATGTTCCCTCCAGCACTTTATATAATAGACCAAATATGGGAACAACTTAAATACCCATGAACAGAAGACAAGATCTAAAAAAAACCACTATGGTATATATACAGAGTGGAATGCTACTCAGCTGTTAGAAAAGATAGTCATACAATTTGCTGCAATGTGGAGAGTTCCATGTTAAGTGAAATCAATCAGAAGGAGAGGAACAGACTCAGAATGATTTCTTATATAATGAGATATGAAGAAACCTCGTAGGGAATGTCCAATACCCTGTGGAAAAAGAAAGAAGAGCAGGAGAACTGGTCTTCCATAGGAAGCTTGGCACTGGGACTGGGGTGGGGGTGGGGGATCAGCTAGAGAAGGGAACACTAGGACAATAGGGAGGAGGAAAGTGCCTGGCACAGAGGCAGGCTGGGGGTGGGAGGGAAACTGGGGACACTGGTGGAGGGTAGTGGGCACTGGTGAAGGAACTGGTGTTCAAACAATATACACCTAAAATGCAATCATATATATCTTTGTAACTTTGTAATTTGCAGTGACTCAATAAGAGAGTGAAAATAAAATATATATTCGGTTAAAAAAAAGACATACAGGTGGTCCACAGAAATGTGAAAATACGCTTAGTATCACTAATCATTTGGGAAGTGCAAATCCAAACTGCAGCGAGTTAGCACCTCACACTGGTGAGAATGGCGCTATCTGAAAGACTGGAAACTACAAACACTGGTGAGGATATGGAGTAAAAGGAACTCTGCTGGGGGGAAGGTAGCCTCTGTGGAAAAGAGCAGGGAGATTTCTTTAATAGATGAAAATGGTTCCTGGGGGGCTGCCAACTTGGCATGTGAGAGCCTCATGCGCGTCTTGATCCACAGCTCCCCATGGCTCAAAGCCAACAGCAGCCCCCGTGTACCACCAGGCGTGGCTTGCAAACGGAAAAAAAATATTAAAACAAAGTAAATATATGGAAATTCCACAAGATGTAGCAACAGCACTTCTAGGCATACAAAAAGACTCATCTGAAACTTGCACCCTATGTGTACAACAGCCAAAACAGGGAGTCACCCTAAATGCCATCAAGCAAGTATTGGATAAAGAATCGGTGGCTGATATACTCGGTGAAATACTACTCTACTATTAAGGAGGAGGAAATCATACCTTCTGGGATAAAATGAATGAAACGAGGTGATAATATGGGAAATAAGCTATGAAGTCAAAGATAATCATCAGCTGAGTGGAGTCATGTGGAATAAGACATACACTTTTATCTGAAAACTGAGACTGAGCTAAAAGAGATAGTACAGGTTTAAGGCATTTGCATTGCAAGGTTGAACTGGCTTCCAACCCAGGTGCGACACACA